ACGTCAGGTCACTGCGTCACGTGACACGACGTCACGTAACGTTACATCACCCGAAGTTAAGTACATTCAGTTAAACTAGCGTTCTGGGTGGTGCACGAAAGCCCACGATGTCAAAAGCCCGGTGTCATTGGGGAATAGTAGTAGACCGTTTCCGCAGCCCTCTAAGCACCGGGATAGCGCTCCGTAATCCGCCACAAGACATTGAACTATAGAGATAAGGCTGGCGGCGCGCTTGCGCAGCCGCGTCGTTTTCTTCAGGGATACCGTAGCGGAGGAGAAAAACGGTCTACTACAATTCCCTGTTAGCCCCGCGGCAAGCGCCCCGTTTTTTCTTCCCTGCTTGCAAAAGCCCCTGTTTCAGAAGCCCATGACTCAATTCCCCCGTGTTAACAGCCCCGTGTCCTCAACATCCCAGGTTTTTCCCGTGTTTTTTTTCTTGCCCTCGAAGTTTTTCAACCCTTTCTACCCGTCTTTGTAACGTAGTTCTATATTCGCCTATATAGCGTAAACGTAGCTGGATCCCTGGCCGGCCCCTTGATGCACTTTGCTTAATCCTATATCTAATAACGCTTCAAAATGGCTGTTAGCCTTTCATGAAACTCTTTTATTCACAAAACATATTCACAACATTTGCATAGCAGCAGAGTTGGTACGCTTAGATGCCGCAGTAGCGTTGGATCTTCTGAAGAAACTCGTTGAAGTTTAGGGCGCCGTCCCGCAAGTCGTCCTCCAGCTCCTGGATGGCGTCGTCCTTCTCGTTCCACTTCTTTAGTCGCTTACGAGCTTGTCCGCCATTGGACAGCTGCAGCAGGGATGCTCGACTCGTGGCCTCATCCTTCTTTAGAAGATCCACCAAGGCGAACAGGTTCGGATGAGGTTTTCCAACCATGTTGTTTATTTTCCTACAATTATTAAATGATTTCTTTGGTTATATTTATACAGGCAGCAATGGAATTGGTTTTAGAACAAATACTGGAGGCTCACCTGTGCCAGGCCTCCTTCAGGTTGTTTGTACGGGCGCCACAATTCTGATGCTAGTTCCATTGCTGAATGTTGAAGTTACCCATCATCCAAATGTCCTCAAAATAAAGAATCAAAAGTGGAATTTGCGCGTCCGTAGGCGCCGTAAGTTTCAGGTTGCCCCAAGCTACTCGCATGAAGTTCGGGGGGACAAAAGCGAGACTGATCATCTTTCTCACGAAGCCGGCCACGGAGGTGTCCAAGCGATAGGCCTTCGAGAGTCCAAGCTCCTGAACTTTCCGCCAGATTGCCTGGGAAAAGTGGAAGTGGCAGCGTCAGTGACGGGCGCCAGGAAAAACGAAGAGGATGGCCTGAATCAGCGCCAGTTTGAAGTCCGTTCGGACAAGGTCGAACGAAACGGAAGGGTTAAGGTCAGTTAGAGCTGTCCTAAAATGTTCGAAGGCCTGTACGTAAACGTCACGGGATTTGCCGGGTAGCAAAAAATAAGCGACATTGAAGCTACACCGCTCTTTCACGACGCTTATGGTCAACATTTGATAAAACAAAGATGGACACGAAAAGAAGGTTCCATCGACAAAAACCTCGCTCGCCTCAAAAAACTCTGTGAGTGCGTCGCTTGTGCTAAAACAGACGATGCGACCAGCACTGGTTGACACGTCAAAAAGAAGAAGCTATCTTCTGTCCAAGGTTTCAGTGCATGTTCCAGCTAAGTTTACGTCAGCTGTAGTCTTGGGCAGTGTAGGTTGGTTCTGTCTTTTAGCTCGGTAGATCGTACTGCGCACTCTCTCAAAGGTCGAAAGCTGAGCCAAGACGTCTTCCTCGACCTGACAAAAAACAGAGAGAGAGAGAGGGAGAAAAAAGGTTGGTTCAGAAATATTACACTTAACTATGAACACTCTTTCGCTGTATGATTCTTAGATCGACATCAATCGCCTTTCCCACCAAGCTCCTCACATGCTGGGAATACATCTCTGGGGCAGCAGCGTGGGGTTCAGCGATGGCCCTTTCCTTCAAGGTACACTTCAGACGTGCGCTGTTAACGCTCACGTCGTTCGGCGCATGTGTGTGCTCCCCTTCAAATTAAAAGAGGCATGAAATATCATCATCTGCACTGGTTACAACGTCATAATACGCAGCTATTATCGAAAAGCACGTGATGAAGTGAGCAACAGCTTACCTGGATTCTGAAGCACGCGTCCTTCTTTCGGTCAGCACTGTCAATCCGCAATTCATGGCGCGATACCTGTCACAGCGCCAGACAACAGTTCCATTTTTGTTACGACGTTGAAAACAGTACTTGTACCCGTCTAAGTAGAGGGCATTCTTTCCGTTCTGCGTCTTAACCACTTCCATCTTGGCAAGTGAGCCCACTGCTGGCCAATGTGGCCTTAAATACCATCAGCCTCGAAAGAACTGCAAACTCCTGCAATTGTCTACTTCGTCATTCCCCAAGGGGGTTTCCTGGTCTGTTATCCTAATATTATTGTTCCTTTCTGTCTTCTTTCCACACCGAGGGAAAATGACACGGGGTCACTGTGCAAGGTTTGAAGACGCGCAACAATGACGGACGAAACACCGTCATTGATCCGACCTGATTCGGGCAATATGGGACGGGGCTTTTGGCACGTGGGGAATATGAAACGGGGCCATTGACCGCGGGGCTTTCTAGACGCGGGGCTAATGGGTAACCGGACAAAAGCTCACCGGACAAAAGCTCACCGGACAGAAGCTCACCGGACAAAAGCTCACCGGACAAAAGCTCACCCGTCTTTTCCACAGACCCGGACAAAAGCTCACCTCATTTTTTTTTCGCTACCCGGGCGAAACACGGGCTGAAATTAAATGCGGATGCGATGTACATTGCACCATTTTTAGTTGAAATTGTACCCCATCCCACGCAAGGGTTTACTACGGTTGATCGAATGCTATTTTGTCGAAACATGTTTTAGAGAACGGGCACGTTTTATTGAAGCACGTTTTAGAGAAAGCAGAGCCTCAGTTTAGAGATATGCCGTTTATCGGAAAGGGACCGCTATTCAAAAAAGGCGTTTGTACTTCGCGCGTGTATCACTGGTGCGCGTGTTAACCCAAACCCCCTCTGCGCTCCCGCTGCTTTGTGGCGGCAGTCTGCGGCGGCTCACTACAAAAATTTAACTCACCCGACTTATCCGTACACGCCGCTTCGCGGTGGCCGAATTCGCCAAAAGGAGACTCATCGCCTTTTTCTCTAAACTTCGTTTCTCTATAAGACCAACATGAAATTTTCTCCTGGTGAGCATTTGTCCGGGTCTGTTAAAAAATGGGTGAGCTTTTGTCCGGTGAGCTTTTGTCCGGTGAGCTTCTGTCCGATGAGCTTTTGTCCGGTGAGCTTTTGTCCGGGATTCGGGCTAATGACACGGGGCTTTTGCGACAGGGGTTCTGCACATACAATGACTTTACTTGACCTGTCCTTCTGTGACGTCCTTATATTTTCTAAATTTAGCCGAGAAATCCGTAAAGTTAATGTTCTTGTCTCCGAAACGATTGTCTGATTGAACTAATTTAAACAATTTTAAGTACTGGAAAGATAAAGGTGCCTGGTCTTTTTTTGTCTCCATGAAACTTGGGTCCGGTATATTCGGAATCAAAACATATATCCTTCTATGAAAAAAACGGTTCAAGTGCAGGCGAGCTGGTGTAAGTTTTACATGATGATTGAAAACCGGAGACTGTGATTTGAAAAGCGGGAACTCGTGAAGTAGAAAGAAAAAAAGGGACAGACAACGTCTCAAACTCAGCTAAAAACTTTATTGCCTCTACACCTACGCCCCCGGACGTCAAACGTCGCCACCACCACAATGGTTGATCACTAAACTACTAATGGGGGGCATTGTTGGCGAGTGTGTGATTCCAGGGGAAAGGGGGGTAAGTTAGAGACGATCTTTTTGTGTTTCCAAGTGCTGGTGTTACTTTGTCCGCGTCAAAGTCCTTCCGGGTGCGGTGGTGACGACCTTGTGTTTCTGTTTGTATAACGCTTCTTTTTTTATGTATTGTTTGCGGTTCGGTGTATTGTCATTCCGGTGTATTGTTGGTAGTTCAGTGATCAACCGTTCTGGTGGTGGCGACGTTCGACGTCCGGGAGAGGTGTATATAAAACGTAGAGGAGATAAAGGTTTTTGCTGAGTTTGAGACGTTGTCTGTCCATTTTTCTTTCTACTTCACGATGTTCTGTTCTTCAAACCACAGTCTCATGTTTTCAATCATCATGTATATATCCTTCTACTTTTCAACAGAAATGAAGCTACGCCTGGAAAGCTCCGAAGAAAAAAGCAACCCAGCTAAAATCCACTTCAAAAAATGTTTCCTTATTTGCTTGATTTTCGTTATCTAATTAAAACGGCATGAGTATTGATGCGATCTTATAGAGCAGTGGTTCTCAACCATTGATGTTTCGCGCACCTCTTGTGGATCGTCGGAGATGATGCAGGAGCCCAGTCGTGGCGAGGGGGAGAAAAAAGTGTAGGTAAATTATGATAGTGATTTAATAACTGGATGTAACTAAGGGCTAGTATGAAGTAGACTCGCTTTATTTACATATACACGTGAAAACTCACTGGAAAATTCGAACGTTTCCTCTCAATCTAAGAAAATACAACTTTTATTGCCGGGCTCGACTGATGAGGCAGGGCTTCTCGGATCCCTAGAATGCCTTTGCGGACCCCCATTGGAGAACCACTGTCATAGAGCACTGAATGATATTGTCCAGAGCAACGATTGAATGACGGCAAAAGTTTCCTTGGCGCCAACGACTTTAGGTTTGGTGTGGTGCTTCTATAGCGACCGACAGCTAAAGAAGAGCAGGACCTGGCCCATCATGTTGACGCATCCTGTTTTGTGATTATTTTTTGGGGGTTCTTATTGATTCATGTCACAATCATATGTGATGCGGAACCCCCTGCGTTTCTTGAACTGTCAGTGAACATAAAGTTTTACAGCTGGAGTGAAATCTTGTACATCCTGTTTTACCATTCCTCGGGTAGGTGAGCATGATTATCCTTGTGATGGACGAGGGCATGATGTGGAACGAGGTCGACATCATCGTCATCGTCGTTGGACTCCTCATTCTTATCGCTTGGGCCGTCGCCGGCTTCAAGGCTGTAAGCAGACATTCAGCATGCAACTATCTTAAAACTTTTATGCAGCGGTCGGCCGTTGTTGGGACAGCGATGTTGGGTCACAATTAATCCAAACAACCTAACGTTAATCGGCGATTTCACCTAGCGAGAGTGGTTTGTTGCAAGTTATATCACGGCAGTGCATCTCATTATCTCACTCTGAAAAGAAGACCGCAACCGAGAAATGATCTTTGGCTGGATGCTGCGTAGGGAAGGAAAGTCTGATTGAGATGTAGTTGTGAACCAGTTTGTACTTCGATTTTTTTTTCTGAACCTAAGAGAACGTGCCCAGATATAAAATGTCAAGACAGCCCCGTGGTATATATAGCAAAGCTCTCAGTGCATTATGCTGTAGACAACATATATAACTCATCCGAGAAAAAACAAACAAACAAAGCATTGTCTCCAGCGGGAGGGCACTTGAAGAGACCCTGTTTTAACTTTGTTACTTGTATAGGCTCACGCTGCCTGGTGCATATTTAATCTTATAATATTTCTTGCACTCGGAGAAATCCGGCGCGTATACTTTTGCTCACGACACTTTGGAGAGCGAATCACTACAATCTTGGACGAGAGTTTGGAGAATGATGAGGTCGGAGATCTGTTTAGATCTAAAAAGAAACAATCTGCGCCTTCACAATTATCGTTGTGCCATGTTTGATACTCGCTTATGGTCATCGTAATACGAGGAGTAAATGGTCAACTGGGTGATCAAGCTCCTTTTTTGGGTATCAAAAGCCCACCTTCGGTTGCCTAATTCTACGGCACATTCTGGTTTTAAAAATGTTACGCATTTTCTTTTATTTTGCCAAGATCAGCATGCGTCTTGAAATTCGCAATGGAAACCCACCTCTGACGCACAGCTTCTGCGAAAGAAACACAGAATGTGCCACTTAAATCGTCCCGCTCCGGCAACTTGGCTATTGATTGCGATCGATGGCCCCGCCACCCTGGTTCTCGATAAAACACACAAAAAATTCCTGGGCCGTTCAGGAGCAAATTATCGCGAGAAATGTTTGGATCATACGATATTAGATTGCTGGGGGACAGCAAATGTGCAAGTGCACTGTCAGTTCACCTGTCCGATGAGCAGTTCGAATTTCTACGCATGCAACTTCATTGGGTGTCTAAATATACTTTTTTTTTTAAATGCATATTTAGTGCAAAGTATCGCATAATCTTGTGTCCCTCTTCTTTTTACCGGCGCATATCGTTTAAAGCTTTGCGAAAAAATTTTCCTTTTAGAGTGGATAAGGCAGCTTCTATTATTAGCTTCATTATGACCCCCAGAATAAGGACGCAGAACCAACAAACAGCGCCTGTCATATTGAGGCCTCCAAAATAATAATTGTTGATAGGATTTCTGATCTAAGTTCTCCTTCTCTTAGGGAGAAATTGGGAAGGATGGTAAATATGCCGAAGCACGAGAGCCTTGGCGATTACGTCACAGTTCCTATGAGATTTTCTGCTTGCACTGATCGTTCCGGAAGGGAGGAGTTTCAGCACTCTATTGAAAGCGCTCGGATGTACACTTCCCGCGCCATATTAAAGTATTTTTGATGATCGTGATCCTGGATACCAAATGGAGAGTGCTGAAATCATTACATGATTGATTCTACGAAATTCGCCGCCAGAAAACATTTTTCATTTTTGTTTAATTCCACAGCATCTGGTCTAGTGGACTGTAAGTTCAAAGTACGTGAAGCTAACTTTGTAAAATTAGAATGAAAATCTTTTTGTGTATTTTAATAATACAAATGCACCATAAAGCAGTTTCTTGATGATTGGCAGCAGTATTAAATTACAAAATCGCTATTACTTTATTTACAGTATCTCAAGTGGCTTAATTTCACTTCGACCACAAGGCAGAGACGGCTATTTTCTTTTAAAAGCTTTGCTTCTATATATCAAATTTTCTTGTGGGCACGCGTGATATGTCCGCTTAGTGAAGCTTATTTTCCGTGTGAAACTAGCAGTTTGGTTTTTAGTCAGTTTAGAACTTATTGCAGGGCAAGAAGATAGATGACTATGTACTTTTATTTTACAGATATATCTCGAGAGTGACAAATATTTTTGGATATTTATGTCTTTGCTGTGGCCCAACGCTGTCTACAACGTCTGGAGAATTGTTTCGGTAAGTTTAAGAATGTTGAAAATAACTTTTTGTGCGAGTTTTCTAATGAAAGACTTGTTTTCCTGGAATATTATATTAAACGAAGGTAATCGATCTTTGCCGACTTCCGACAAGTGATGAGTAAAGAAAAATGAGAAAACAATACAAAACATATGAATATAGATAGTTTTTAATTATACGTGTTTTTTCGAGATTTTATGGAACATCAATTTTTTATTCACGCCGTGAAACTCCGTACAAGCTGAAAGCTTACGAATGCTGTTCCTTACATTTTGGAGCACGCTGAATATTGAATAAAAAGAGCTTAGTCGAAGGATAACCATCGTGAGGCAAGCGAAGCTATGCAAACTCCAAGATTAATGGGCTTGAAAAATGGGACAATGAAAATCTCTGAGCCGTCTTGACCCAGATCGGCGATCTTATCGGGGAGCCGATAGCGCACTTCGACGTTGAAGTTCGTCATTGTGCACCAACATTTTTCTCTGGGAGAACTAACATCGTCGTAAACGCAATGCTGTACCTGAAAAAAAAAAGAAGAAAATACGTATCACTTTCGTTGATCTTCGCTTGTCACCGGCTGTCAGTTCTTGCATATGAACATTTATTTTCAGCGTTTAGACGTTTGCTTGGCCGAGCTATTGGCAGGAAGCACTAATTTCTCTAGAAACCTGTGTGGGTTACAAGTAGAGAAATCTTCGCAAGAAAAACTTACAGTTCCCAGTAAATTCAGCTTGAGAATAAAGGTGATCTTGCCAAAATTTGCCCGGAACTGATGTAAGCTAGTGTTCTACTACATTGCAAAGAGGTATCACGACTTTATTTTGCCATCATAGGTAATGGTATGTTTAGAAACTGGGAACAGTCTATCAGCCTTCAATCTCAATGTGCGCTCTCTCAAAAATAAAATAGATGCGTAAGATACATTAGCTTCTCATTTTCAATCCCGGTTTAATATTGTTTCGTTCATTGAAACATCGTATCATGATGACGATGATATGTATGTCTTACAAGGGTATAATAATTCTTATTTTAATCAGTATCATAAACGCGGGTGAGGGGTTTCTATTTACGTTTCGCAAGACATCTAATGCAAACGTCTGGAAACGTATACTGAAATGACGGATGACTGCGAAACACTAAAAGTGAGTAGTAACAATCTAATTTTTTCTGTAGTGTATAAGCCGCCATCGGCGTATTTCAATAAATTTTGTTTGTTTTTAGATAAATATTTTCACTTGATATCAGTATATAAATTATCCCTTTCCCTAAAAGGACATTTCACTGTAAATACCCTGCAACACCTGACTCTTTCGTCGCAAGTAAACAACACCCTAAGGTTAAATACTTTCATGAATGTGATCCAGTCTCGCACTAGAATATATATTTGCCTCTCAAGCGCCCCTGACCTTTTTATCACAAATGTTTGTGGATATCTTCATGACGCTGGGTCAGTGACTAGTGACATTATGATCACATCCTCATATTTGTATTATGTGGGTAAAGCGCTGCCGTAAAAAAACTCGGCTAAAGTTTCATAGGTCTTCCAGGATATATCCCAGCGTAATTTAGAAAAATTCAGAACAGTGATCTCCAGCACTGACTGGGGCCAAGTTTGTTCTAAAATATGTGTAGACGAGGTGCACAACGCATTTATTGACGTCTTTAGCAAAGCTTAGAACTCAAATTGTCCCTGGGAAGCAAAAACAGTTGCTAAAAAAATCGGAAGGCCTGGATAACACCTCTGCACCTAATAAAGCTGAAAAGGGATCGTTTGCATAGGTTCTTTTTATCGATGAGAAATTCCGCTAATGTGTAGATATTCAAGCAATATCGGAACCTCCTGACATCTGAGTTACCGAAGGCTAAGAAAGAGTATTATACAAGGTTCTTTAATATAAATTCTAAAAAAAAGACCAGAAAGAGTTTGAAAATCTATAAGTGACGTTTTACGCCGCAGTAGGCAGCGTAAAGATGTAGGCGAACAGCTTTGTTGATGGCATAAATTTGTCAGAGTCGTTACTAGCACATCACTTCAACAAAACTTTTGTAAACTTTAACCCGCCACCACATAATTCAAATGCTTCTAAATTTATTGAACATACAGTGTACTAGACATTTTTTCTTCTAAATCTGACTGATGAACACGAAGGACAGAACACATTTTCGGGTCTTAGCAACAGTAGAAGCCGCGACAGAGATGACTTAGAATTTAGGCATGTGAAATTTGTCTTAATAACAACGCGCCTTTCTTGGTGCACATTTTCATCTTTTTTCGTCATCGGGAATAACATTTCTCTGCACATATATATATATATATATATATAAGGTGTCTGTGATATTTGAAGTTACACTGACACCAAGCAAAATGTTTGTTTGTTTTTATTTTTCGCCAGGCGATTCATTATGGTGTTAGGAGAACCCAATAAATATTTTGATACAGCGACACTTATATTTCTAATAAAGTAAAAAAAAGAAAAACGGAACAGCTTGAAACCAAGGCCTAAACTGAACTGGGGAGGAAGAAGAAATATAGAGGAGGAGAGAGGTAGCAGAAGTTACGTGGTTGTGTGATACTTTTTCCTTCCCAAAAAACGCATTTGTAGCTTTTTAGAGGCCACAAAAAATATGTGTATTCATTTTCTTTCTTTAATATTGTGATTGTGCCTTCGTTGACCTACACCTTTGACTAAACTTGGTGGTCGTGTCTAAACCTTAGAAAACGGCCCGTGATTACGGAGATCAGGGTGAGTTGCCACTCAAATCGACCAGTTCTCGATCGGCGGTTTTCGAGTGGAAAGTGACCGAATTTTGTTCCGCGAATTCTGTTCTTTGTAATGGGGCTTTCATATGTCATGTATAACTAAAAATCTCGGCGAGCATCAATACCCTGTCAGTGTCCCTTTGAAGGTGGAGATAGACATCTACTGACAAAATATAGACCTATATTCATATTTCCAATATTTTCCATTGCGCTTGAAACCATTTTTTAACACGTCTAAATTCTTTAATAAGCATTCTATGATATCTGAATGCCACTTTGTTTTCCGAAAGGGAGGTCTACACATACTGCGCCACTTCAGCACAATAAATTATTTTGATAAACAAAACGTCGATTGTTTAACCTTGGTATATTTATAGAGTTTAGTAATGCATTTGATTTCATCAACAACGAAACTTTCTTAGATAAACTATACTGCAACGGTGTCCGTGGCTCTAAAACTTTTACAATCTTAATTTGAGTAACGTACGCATTCTGTTGGTGTCGATGGTCATACATCGCCTTTTCTTAAGGTACGATGTGGTGTCCCGCAAGGTAGTATTCTCAAGCCAATGTTATTTCATATACATAATAATGAAATCGTCAACATCAAGTATGAAATAAAATATATGATATAAGCTGACGGTACAGACCTGTCTTGCTGAAACCTGTGTTGAAAATTAATAGGCGACGCAAATAATGTCCTTAGGCAGTTTCTCACATGGTCCAACAACAATGGCCTTAAAATCAACATTTAGAAAACAAAAGCTATATCTTTCGACCTAAAAGCAAGGCTGTTGCTACTGACAATAATATTAGATTAAGTTCGCCACCAACTGAATTAGTAAAAAGTTATAAAAGCGCTCGGAATAATTTTTTCTGAGCATCTTTTGTGGAATGACCATATAGATTATCTCGTAAAGAAGCTGTTTAAAGTGGTTGAAGCCTGTCCCTCTGTCATTCTGTTTTCCCAGTTAATGTTAAGTTACAAATTTAATGCTCACTATATCAGTCCTATATCAACTACTGCCATAATAATTAGGAGAAAACTACTTAAACGTACATTGAAAAGCTTGAGTTACTTAAAATGCTTCGTTACATTGCAGATGAGCGCTATATGGCTCAACCAGGTTCATACAACTCTACGTTTTGCCCAATATAAACTAATCACCGCTGAGACAATGTATGACCATAACCTACTGCACAGTTCACGCTTTTCGTCTTCTGACCATATTTTCTTTTTGTTTGAGATGGCGAAGCTTTCCGAATACCCTCACCGCATCAACACGCGCCTTTCGGAAAGATGAATCATAACTCGAGCCCACACTATTATACTTATTAGTCAATCAGATAGTTTCTAACCTTATTAATTATTTATTTACGTGCTAATAATATTCATGTCTAAAGTATGGGAAGTAAATTATTAGTGATGCACTTCCTGTGATTTTGTCAGACGTTGCGTATAGATGACTACGTTTCTAGTTTTCTTTATGAAAGCGTTTTATTTTAAAGCGTATATTTCGTCTTATTAAAAGCGGACGTTTTGTTTGATGCAAAAAACGGCTGTGTGTACGCGATTTTTTATTTATTTTTGCTAACCGTACGTTTTTAGGAACTGTTGTTTTTTGTAGAGGATTGCGAACATTAGCTGTACATATATTGTTTGTATGTGACGCTTGTGTATGGCCTTTTCTTCAATTTTTCTTTATTATTTGTTTGTTGTGGTACGATTTTGGTTTTTTTTTTTGTTTTGTTGTTAATATGGATTATTTTCTTCTCCGTATATCGAAAACTTGTTCTGCTTCTCCTGCTGCTAAACTCCAAACGGGCTCGTCCTACTCGGCTGCTAAAACGTTGTTGCCGCGGTAACCTGCGCCTGCTCGCGTATGCCACGCGGTAGCAGAAAGAGAGGCATTGGGAGGGGCGTGCCAGGGACTCCCATTCTTCGTCGCGCGGCGCGCGTGGCCTTTTAGGATTTTTGAAAAGGGTCTATTAAATAAGGTTTCCGAGCCACGCCGCGTACTCCTTATTGGAATTTCTGGAAATCGACTTGATCCCGTCTTGTTTTCGATCGTTCTTTATTCGTAATTTCGCCTTTCTCGTTCACACGATCAATTTCTCCCCGCCCATTTAGTGCGGCATTGTGGCCAGGTTGGGTGACATTTAACAATGATCGGTAGACGAAAATCGAAGTCGGCTATAGTGGGAACATGCCCGAAAAATAGCGTGGTCGTCCTGAGCGAAAACTGCCGGTGCTTCGTGCGTGCGCGTTCAGTAGGAGAATCCGTCGAAGAGCAACGAACGAGTGTCTGAGGCCACGTTTTTCGAGAGAGACGTCGTTCTCACCTTGACAGGTGAGAATGACGGATGCCCTCGACCACCCGAGTATACGAACTCGCAAGTTGTATGGTTAGAACTTGGGAAGTTTGTAGAGTGCCCGAAGAACGCAATCTTCAGTCACGGAGCGCTGAGGAGACTCGTCGTAGACGGAGCGCGAATCTAACAGGGGGGTGGAATCGAGAGCGGAGGCGAAAATGGCGCGAAAATATTCAGAATCGTGCCCAGATGATTCTGTCGCTGCGACAAACCTTACGAGATGGCGTAAATGCTCCCGGAAATTTTGGTTCTCTTTCATTCATCAACATGCTTTTTTGTTATCTTAGCGTAGAAAGAGCTTTAATTCTGCATGCCACGAGGAATTGGAACTAACATCACCCAATTCGGTCACTCTACTTTTTCTTCAAAAGCTTTCTTGTTTGAAGAATATTCGCGAACATATGGTGTGAATGATTCTCGAGGTTTTGCTTTTCGAATTGACATATTCATTTTTTTTTGTAATCTTTTTTTACGACATTCAAACATTTATGAAAAGACAGATTACACGCGCGCAATCAAGGTAGGAAATAGTTGACGCGAGGTTCTTGCTCCAAACATCGTTTCTTAAAATGTACCGAAGCAAAGGCCCAAAGTTCTAGCTTTTTGCACAAGGGCCCACTTTGGCCGAAACCTCTTGCAATGCAGGTAAAACTGCCAAAGCTATAAGCTTGCGCTTGTTGTCTTTGTTGAGCTATAACTTAATTTCAAGATCAAATTACTCTTTTGGTGGGGTAATCAAGTTTTTCATCATACTCGCACACCCTTTTTCAAACACCTTTACAGGGCCTGCATGAATGTCAGGCATTGAGCTTCCATGAAATCAAAACGTTATGCTTGCTAGAGCCGATTTAGTAATTCTTTATCAACGTGCGGCAGTTGCAGGAATATGAGTTATTTTATAGAGGCAAATTATCGCGAATGCAATTTTCTTACTTGTTGCAGATCTACAGAGAGCGACCAATGGAAGCATGGAACATCCTTCGCCACGCTGTTCTGGGGTGTGGCGTCATAGCCCTTCTGACACGACTAACAATTGGCATCTCAATGTGCGTGTTTAAACGCGACTTTGGCAAGGGAGTGAAAGAAAAGTGTGAGTGGCTTTCTTAATACAATTGCGTCCTATTTGTGCACCGTGTGACGCTAGCTCGGAACAATAGCATGTTTTAATAATTGAACTACATCTGGCACACGAACACACGTTTATTTAGCCAGCACAACTTAGGAAAAAACGAAACAGAAGACAAATACCAGTTTCTAAATGCAGAAGCGTTACTCTGTCGCGTGTAAAGTTGCGGAATAACTATAGACAGTTTAAATGTTTAAAGAATTGCAGATCAGCATGTGCTGCTAACTTTTCGACGAAGTAACATTGGATAACATTTGAATTTAATTCTTCTTAAAATGCGAGAAGTTGATCTCAAAAAGTGGTGTATCCGGCCCTTTTTTATCACTTTTCTAATAAGGCATTCGGCGTGGCGTAGTTTTAATTTTTTTTTTATATTTTAGGATGCTTAGGGGACATAGAATCGATCATGACCAAGAACAGACGATAGATGAATCTTCTTTAGTGCCTTTTTAAGAGCGAAAAGAATGTGAAACTTTGTTTTAACTTTGCCAGAAGGTCTCATTCACTTAACAGGTACGCTCGCATTATATCAGATGAAGTAGACGTTCATATGCCTTCTTTGAATATACGAACGTGCCGACATACTTCTAAAGAAAAGCGGCCTAATTCTGGCCTAAAGAAAGTTTCTGCCACCCATGTACCTTGGTGGTAACGCAAGGAGCCGGCACCTGTTCCGCATATTTGGCTTCTCATGGGAACAACCTGTAGGATGAAAATAAGACAAAAAACGTCATTCGCTTTAAGAATGGCAGTTGCTCCGCTTTGATTGTGAAAGCACGTTGAAGCTGTTTGATTTACGCGATTTTTAAGCGAAATGACTTACAATCTACGCGATAGATCAACATATTTTGACACGGGACTATTTCTGTTAGGCATTCTGAAGCGGAGCGCTAGCCTATATTTTAAACTCGCAACTCGATGCTTTCCTGTGACAAGTGCGTGTTTGTGAAGCAGGTTGCTCGACGAAATGGCAGTCATTATTATGAGTGCAGAGGAGCCGCTTATCAAATTACAGCATGGTGGAGCAGAATATGTTTCCTTAACAGCGTTAGTACAGGCAATCCGTCCAAATATGTCTCATAACGCTACGTTTTGTAATAAGTGATCTTATGAGTTATTGAATGTAATACATAGTCCGTGCTGCTTTTCGACTAAAACGTTAGTTTTGCAATAGAAAATAAAATATAATTTTTTTTCCGCCTAGACCAATTTAAAAATAAAACCTTTCTTACCTAATGTGCATTGTTGTAATAACCTCCATTGTACCATACTTTATTCAAATTCACTTGACAGTTTTATGCGAGAACCGGCAACCGAAAAACTAACCAAGTAAAAGGTCGCTTAGCTTTTAACAATTCTCAAGTTACCGCTGAAATTGGCCTGTTCTATCCCCCTCCTCTCATACCCCTATCTCGGGTTCGTAGCATTTAAACACAAAAATTAAAAGAAACGACCCTATGTTTTCAGTCTCTTTCGCGGCGCGATGGTCACTGAGTGATAGTGAGTGCATATTCTTCTCATTAATAAAAGGCTCATGCTGAAGACCCTTCTGAGAAAGAGGAAGTAACAATAGACACTGCATAAGGAAAGCAGGGCATGGCCTGGACTGCATATCTTATTTTCGCTGCTCAGCTAATGAGCGTGCTTTATTAGCCAATAAAAACGCCGGAGAACCAATCACAAGGCAGAGATCGCGAACATAATAGCATGCCCTCCGCTGGCTATACCGGAACATACGTCTACCACGTAAAATTAAGTGCATTTTTTTATGTCACAGTGGCCAGATTTACTCTATTTTGTGGGGTAAGTTGGATTGCCTAAGTGTTTCATTAAATTAGTATTCGAGAACGCTATACCTAATTCAGGCCCCTGGATAAATTCTAGACAGAATACAGCCTGCTCTCAATGAATCATTTTAAAAGTAATTAAAGCCGCATTGTACACAATAGTGTTCGCGGGCTCCTATGACGTTTCCTCCTTTCCAAAAAAACAAAGAAATTCAGATGCAACAAATCTAAATGAAACAAAGTCTAAGGTGCTAGTGCTGATTGCTCTTAAGGTTTATTTGTATGAACCTCTGCGTATATACGAAGCATCGCGAAACAGAATTGAGACCATAAAATCTATCGAATTAAAAGTCTATAATCACGAAGCGCGGTGAAGTTTGTCATATAAGTAGATTCTGTGAGTCATTAATCACTTTTTGTTTTCCTGAACAGTGGCCCAATTTAGGGAGCCAAGGGAAGACGAAGCTGCCCCTTTAACCACCATTCAAGATAATGTCTGATTCACCTTGGACGTTGACCTCCTGCCGGCCACTTTATATAATGACCTGAGTAGAGCGGCCTGGTGCGCTATTGTCAATAAGATTTCATCTCTGACGGACGCGTGCACGTCGTTAGACGGTGATGGAAAAATCTCGTCGAAATCAATCATTAGGGCTTTGAGCCGACTTTGAATTTTGTGCCTATTAAGCGGTGAAGTTTAGTGACTTAATTATTTGGTTGATCGGTCTAGGTCGAGTATAAACGTTGTTACTGGTTTGTTTTAAAAATCACCCTCCTCACTATACACCTTTATCAATAATTTTCTCACTCGTCACAAAGTCAGTGATTTCTGCACTGGGTTGTTACTAAACTACGTGATCGACATGTTAGTAGAATCATTTTACTGCCGAAATTTCCGTGCCTTGTCACTGTCATGTTCTTATAAGTGTTCATGCATTATTTTGAATTTTACCTTTACTTAGCTCTACTGAGAAGCATTTTTCACTTGCCGCAAAATCTCGTCGCTGCATTTCAGATATTATTGAAAGTTTGTTCTCTATACTCAAGCTACACATTTTAGAAGATTTTCGAATTTTAAGTTGCGGCAGAACACGCAACCTAAACTTGCTCATAGTTTTTTTTTTCCATTGCGACGCGACAACGTACCACTTGCAGAATCTAATACGGTAGCCATGCGCCAGGTAGGTTCCCAGTTAATCTTACTTTCTTTATCCACATTGTTAAGGCGCTAATTCCGCCGCGCCAAATAATATAAGCGCAGTATTTTTAGTTTTAATGATAACTGCCTAAAATGGACCCAAGACGATCACTATTTTAGAACATGCTTTAGACGTTTCATAACTTGTTTTGGACACTTACATTGTCATGTATTCTAAACATTTGCCTTTTAAAACCGCAAAACCATCAAAAAGCCATTGCAAACCTTGGGTTGCAACAAACCGCCTTACTATGAAAAAGCTATGATATTGGTGGATGGAAATTTACAACGGTGTTAAAATCATAAAGAATTGAACCCAACTTGTATGAATTTTAAACTTTAAATCAGATATATTAAAGAAAAGAACGAATAATGGGTGGATTCTAAGGGAAGGCAATATTTTCCCCAGGTTGTCGTATCGGCTGCCGGCCAAATACTCACGTCCTTAAAATAATGAGGATTTTTGTATCGTCTAAAATATGACCGCATTGTTTGTGAACTGATCGCCTAAATATAGCGTGATGTTCTTCAATTCTCCTGAGCATGGCTGGTCCAACACCCGAGCTAAAAGCAACCACCAGATGGCACCAATATATGTGCACCTTTGCAGCGAGGTAATCACTCCACTTCAAAAGGGACTTATTCTGGTTTCAGGGGCTCGATATAACCCAGGAGAGCTGGGAAACCTGAACAACTGTCTTGTACGAGAGGCACGTGAATAACTAATAGACATTGTGCTGAAGGGTGCACTGAAACGAAATTGTCGCATCTATTTTATTGTCTAAACGTCAACCATGTTCTGGCAAGACGACATAGACACATTCTTTATGGTCAAAAAAGATTCTGAAGCTTTATTTAACACGAATAAACCGAGTACCAAATTGCATCTGCTGCATCTCCCCAAAGCTACCACACATGTTGTTACGCCCCCCTTCCTATGAAAGCAGCGCGCTGCTCCATGGAAGTACGTTTGCGAAAAGCGTGCTTGTACTCCTTGTCCAACTTGGACGAACCTTCTTTCCATCTCAACCTGGTTTCCCACCTCTCCCGTGCATAGTCAAGCTCTGCGGGGAGAGGAAAGTCTGAAGCATCTTGAACGCCCACACGCCAGCCTCTCTTTATAGCCTTGCCGGTGAAGGGAAATGTGATGTCTCGAACGCGCTGGAGGTGCCGAATCTCTCGAGATGCATCGCGATTTCCGATGGCTGCTCTTCGAATGCTCTCTGAAATCGGCCATTTGGAACAAAAATTATAGCAATTCGTTGCTAAGACAAACGTGCGATTGCTATTATCAGACATGGTTGATGTTTTACTTATTTATTAACGCATAAAATTATATTTCAATTTTCATTTCAGTATACTTCGACAGTATTTTGACATCATAGCTGAAGAAAAGGGGTTATCATTAAGACAAGACACTTTGACAAACAGGGGACAGTTCACTCTTTGCATGAAAATACCATAAGCAATAAAACGTCCCTCCTTATTTCTATTCGATGTATTACGTCCACATACCATGAAATAATACAAAAAAAAGGAATCAAATTATTTCTTGCAAAACATGCGATCACAATTTAACACTCAGAGAGACGACGACTTCCCATTATTCTCTCACATAAAATGATGCCGCTATTGTTTATTATAAATATCGCAGCTAAGTGTTACTTTAAACCATTGGTGGTCATCATGAGCGTGTTTTTTAGGCGTTTCGGAATGACGGCATCGTTATGACTGCTTAAATTACGCGTAGATTTAAATCTATGAACGCGTTCACGACAATAGAGAAGGAATGCACATGTTGCAAAAAAAGTAACTAAATACCGTTACGTGTTACTCACTCAAAAAGTAGCTAAATGCGTTACTCGTTACCAATTCTCAAAAGCAGCGCGTTACTCTACGTCAAACGTGAGAAGTTACTATTATCGTTACTTTCACGACCAAGTACGCGACTGCTTTTGTTTCGTGGTTTTTTCGTTTTCTTACCAGAAGTCGTTGCAGTTAAGCAGTAGCTGCCTCTCGAAGTATTGTGTCTTCCCGCGATGGCAACCTCCAGGTTTACATTCGGTGTGTACACAATTGTAGATGGTCCAACCAACGAACCCGATTGTGTTCTCTGGGTGAAGGACATTCTCAGCTGCAGAGTCCGGCCAACGAGTTCAGCCATAAACGCTGGTACACTGTCATGCTGTTGAGTTGTTTCTCGGGTTGCCCATCTGCCTCTGTCGCAATAGACGCTTACTCAGGTTAGAATTAAAATGAGGCCGTTTAAACGTTGGTGAACACGTTACTTTTCAAAAGTAACGAAATAGCGTTACTCGCTACTTGGCCTTAGAGGTAAATAAGTACGTTACTCGTTCCTTCTCTGAAAAAAAGTTACTGAAGAAGTAACTCGTTACCAGTAACGCGTTACGTAGATGTCTGCAATTCCGCTCTTAAATACGTTCAATGGAGGTTTCATGGGTTTAGTCTTCCCGTGTTTGTTTACGGGAGTTTAATTTTAGAACTATTTTTATATACGGTGCCACAGCTAAGTGTTTTGTTGGCAGCTGTTTTTATTAAACAACTTCATTTTAATACATTATGCTAGTTGTTTTTAAACTTATTAAAATTATTTTATCCGTCAATTTAAATTTATATTTCGAAATTATTATTTTTATTTGTTAATTGTATTTGCCTTCCCAATGCAATACATGACGCAAAAAGTGCCTCCACGTAGCACCAAAGCATTATAAACAGCGTTTATGAAGGATTTTGGTCTTTACGACAATTTGTTAAAATTTATTTTGTGGCTCTTATTTCCAACTGGATCTGGCTCTATGAGGTGGCTTTCACTTTAGAGCAAAATTATCTCTAAGGTAATCGAAAGGCACAGTGCATGCAATGTAAGTAGAGTTTCGTGTTTTCGATTTTTTTTTAGGTTAGGTTTGCCCCCCCCCCCCCCCCTGCGCAATACAAAAATAATAAAGTTTCAGGTTTTTTTCGGTGTCAAGTTGCAGTGTCAGACGCAAAATCGGTTTTTTTTTATGATTAAGTTGAAGGAGTCAGGTTATGTGTCACAAGGTTGTCCAATTTAAAGCGAACACGCCCGTGAACCAAATATCTAAAAAATGCTGATAAAAACGGAACCGAGAGAAGAGGCGTTTTTCTAGAATAATAACGCAACCTCAGGGATAGTTTAATTGGGACTCTGGTCTCAGTAAATGCAATATAAAGCTCTAGATATACATCTTCTCCCGGGAGGCTTGACGCTTGTTTTATTCAAAGACACAAAAATTAAAAGAAAAACCCGTTCGGTATTGTTTCCGGTTTTCCCGGATATTCAAAAGACCAGCTCAGAGATTACCTTTCGGAGTTTTCTACTGAATCAAAAGCAAGAAACCTTAAATACAGAATAAGCAAATGAGATTGATTAGTTTGGGGACGTGAGGACCACCTAAAAAAAGATTCCTAAGGCTCCAATTTCGAAATTCAAAATTCAAATTGAAAATGGGTTTTATTTTCATCATCAACAGTGCGGATTTACTGAACAAACCATCTGCGCCCTTAGCTAGTTTGGCTAGCTTGGGCCCATTTTTATTAATGCATTAAAACAGTGAGTGTTAAAAATGCAAAGACATAAAACAAAATAACCGATGTAGACACAGAAGCTACCACATATTAGCAAACAACGTCACTAATGCAATGATAATTATTCCGACATGCTGTCAAAACAAGCAAACAATAGTCTATTTATTAGGTGTGCGGCTTAAGAGAAACGGGGTCGCATCCTTTCGAAAAAATATGTGGTGTTTTAGTGAATTTTTAAAATTGTTAGATTATGTTACTATTCCAGATTTTAGTTCCGCACAAAAATATCAGTCAATCACCGTATACATTATAACACCTCGGCAGATTGAAGTGACCGGATGTGTTGGATTTGTTTAGTCGAGCACTCCGATTTAAGATACTAGCTGGAAGTGGATTGTTTGACTTTAGTATATTAACCATTATGCAAGCAATTTTATGGTTTTTATATCATGACGTGAAAAAATGCGGAGTCTATCAAAAAGGGTACGAGATTGTTGGAAGTAAGGAAAGTATGTTAACATTCTAGCACCTCGCTTTTGTTGGTCAAGTACTGGCAGAAGGTAACAGTTATACGTAAATATACGGGTGTTCCCAATGCAGATGGCACCCCCGCACCCCTCCCCGCCTTCTGAATAATGTCGACCAGAATTTTTGGCCTTTATTTGTGCGAGATGATGTATGGCCTGTTTCTCGCGTGCTTACGCCAGACGCTTATACCCTCACACCCGGTGACAGGTTAAGAGCGAAGTGGAAGCTCATCTCACCTCTTTCCACTTTAGCAGAGTGAACGCTGGAGAGGAGGTCTTCTCATCTCGAACGCTCGTTTCAAAAAGTGTGGAAAGAAGTGACAGAAGCTTCAACCTTACTTTTAACGTGTCAACGACTATAGATAGTGACCGGCCAAGTACCTGATAATGAAGCCATGAACCCACCAGATGACTGGCAGATTCATGCCAAACATGGCCTTTACGTGTGCTCTCCTAACAGCCAACCAAATCTATAAAGTCGGCAGGGTAGTCGTGTTTCACCCTCAGTCAGCAAATGTTTTATGGGTATAATGTCTGACATCGGAGATAAGAAAGCACTTAGCTGCGCTAATTGTAGTCGTTGCGTTAGCAAACTGACTAAGACAGTCCCAGAAAGAGGAAGTACTTGAATGGCTTAAAAGGACCGTAGCGTCAGCGAGAGGCGGCGTTGGAAAAGAAATACAATAGAAATAGGGATGGGACAAGGGAGCCTTCGAGAATGATAATATATCTATGGAAGAGCGTCGTGACCAAGCTGATTTGTAAAAATAACCCGGTTGTAGAATTCTTACCAGGTAGTCCACTCCACTCAAATTTATTTCATTTCCTTGGCACGCCGTAGAATGTCAGGTCACATTAAATACAATTTTATAGTGGTCAAACACCATGCGTGTATTGAAAGGCAACACTTAATGCTCTGTTAAAGTTTCGATAAGTTTGTTTTTCCACCAGACATTACTTCCTTGAGACCTTAACTTGAAAAACGACATCATTACATCTGTTTCTGACTAAACTAATTATGTCTGAAAAACAGTTAGGGCGCAGGCGAGCTGGTGTAAGTTTACCATTTTTTTAGACCACCTGAGACTGGGTGGAAGCAACACGACGACGTCTCAACGTCGTCGTGTTGCTTCCACCCAGTCTCAGGTGGTCTAAAAAAATGGTAATTATGTCTATCGTCACTGGCAACTAAACAAACGCAGGGCGTGGACATTTAAGATTCCGCTTCTTGCTTCGTGATGTGTTCTTTGGCCTGGTTATCGGCTGATACCGTAAGCAGATTGCCTGCGAAGCGATAATGAGATGCTAGCTGCGCTTTGAGATTTTGAAGCTCTCGGGGCAATAACCTCCCCTTGACACGCGAGTGTTTCTCCTTAGACGTTCCTACTTCCAGGGTCCACAATATTTGGGGAAAGGGGGGGGGGGGGGGGGGGCAGGGGAGGTTTTGACGAAATTGAATTTTATAATGAAAAAAAAAAAAAAAAGCACTAAACTTTCGCTTGAATTGCTGTCAGGTTTTTTTTTTTTTTGTTTGTTTTTTTGTTTTGTACGCAAGGAACACTTTCAAAGATCTGGTGGACCCAATGAATGGCTACTAAGAGTTACACTCAAGAAATCTACGAACCCACACCGTGAATGGGTGTATTGTATAATAACGTTGCGGCTGGTGTCACGATATTGTCTTCCAAGTAATACAGTATTTCTTGTTTTGGGCACGGTTAAAACTGCTTAAGAGTACGCATTTCTACAAAACAACCATTTTCGAATTAGTTTGCATCACAACTTTCATATTGCATTACATCCAAATCTTGTAATCCCAACTTTCTGCGAGTGTTGTATTACTGTCTTTTTATGTTGCGTCACATTTTGCCTCAATTTGAGCCTCAATAATTAGCTCACATTTTGCCTGGTTAACACATAAAATCAAAAAGTGTTTTTGTACTTCGTTTTTACACAGTGTCTTTTTGAGCATAGTGTACCTGGTGCTCTGAAAGATTTAGCTACCTCCACACATTGTTTTTTACTTGCTGATATGTCCATTATATGCTTCCTGTGTAACAGGTATTGTAATTCACTAATCAACGTACAGGTGTTGCAACGGACCAAAAACGTTCTTGAAATAAAATGTTTGTTTGTTAAAGTTCCAGGAGCATTAAATTTTCTTTCCCTGCATGCGTGCCTCTTGATCGGACGTAGGGTTCAGTACTCAATAAAGACCACGACCTCCAAGCGCAGTAGCAGAGCTGAGTTCGCGGTTCTGCCAGAGAGCCCCAAGTAAGGTAAGCACTGATCACTACTAACACTCCACCGGCGTTGCTGACCTGGGGCTACTGTATGTTCGACATAAATCACAAAAGGTTTCATTGCTCACATTTGTTTCTCGAAATTCCAAGCACAGCAACCGCCTTTGTGGCGTTGAGGCTTCGTTTCTTTTGGTCTTCGTATCGCAACATGGACGGATGGGATACTGCGTGGTCCCTTCGCCAAAAAGTCCTCGGAGTGTCACTAATCGTCTCAGTTGTTTCCTGGCGCAACGTCCCACCATCTGCTTAAAAAAAAAGGCACCTGTAACATGTTGACTCTCACAAATATCGTTGCAGCATGTCCCTTGTCGAGCGTTCCGACCTTTGAGGGCGGGTGCAGTGCTCCGTTGTGTAGCCGAACCAGACTGAAAAACTAAAAATTACGGACGGAGCGCTGGGGGATCTGAAGACACAACCCAATGGTAAATCCCGTCGTGCCCTCATGACGTCACTCCACTTGGAAGACGATGATCGAGTGAGTTGATGGGTATCCAGGACTTCTATAACCTTTACTTTCTAAAATTAAAAGTAAGCGCACGCAAGAAAAGACAATGATTTTTTGTTCTTCGCTTTTAGGGAGACAGAATAGTTCATAGTAATTATTTTGGCGAAGCACGAATATTGGTGCACCACATTTTTAACGAGGTTCAACATACTTTGGAGAAGTTATTGTCGCGCGTTTTATAGGCCTCGCAAGTGGGCTTATTTTCGTCTTCTGCGCTTAAGAAAGGAAGTAGCGGTGACGTCAAAACGCCGAGCCCTGATTGGCTGATCGCGACCCCCTATCTGAGCGTCGTCTGCTCTTTTGCAACGTCGTCTGCTAGCAACGTCGTCTGCGTCTGCCTTACTTTCGCTGCGACTTTCGCCTTTCAGAGAGGGCAGACGAAATAACTCGAGACGTACGTTGTTTTTGTCTAACAACTAGCAGACGCGCATCAAGGGGAGGAGTCGAAAGACTCAATGGCGAGGTGTCCCGAGGCGCCGAGGTTTGTTTGCTAAGAACCGAGAGGTGAACGTGTTAGTGTCCGCAAGTTCCCTCCCAAATACTTTTTCCCTCCTTTCGTGTGCGGCGAGACTCCTCACTCTTTAACGGCGTCGGCGGGTTGGCGCAGTTAACGCCGTCTGCTTTACGTCTGCTAGTCAAAGCGATGGCTGCTTTACCTTTCCTGCGTCTGTCGGAGATTCACCGCTTTTTCACCGGCGAGAGTCACCGCTGCCTCGGGAAACAAGGAGATAACAAGAGGAAGAAATTGACCCCTTAATCTAAAATTGAGGTCAGCGATCAAAGTATAATACGGGAAGGGTTCACAAGGGTCGCGCGGGCATATTCCATTCAGCACGCCAGCCGGTCGTGGGCAGACGGTCGCCGAGTCGCGGAGTGCCTGCTAGGCCTAACTGCGCAGCTCGCTTGGTCGCGTTCGGTGCAATTGTGGCTGTTCGAGCTTTTCCCAGGTGTTTGTGGATCCAGCGTTCTTGTTCGTCGTGGTCTGTTTCAAGTACTTTTTACTTTTTTCTTGCTGCTTGAAGTCGGGACGCGTGAGAAGCGCACGTAGAAAAATAAACGTCCATGGGTCGTCGCGACCGCGACGCTGTCAGCCATGCTGATTTGATCGTAAGAAGTGCGTACGAAAGCTTCGGAGCCGTCGTAGGATTTCGTCGTAACCTGCGCAAAACTTACGAAAATTTCGTTTCGTGAATACGAATTTATTCTTAAGTTTTGTCTTATGCACATTTTTGGCGTAAGATCGTTTCGTGAATCTGGCCTCTGCGCTTCCAAAAGTCGCAGGAAATGTAAGACAGACGCAGACGACGTTGCGAGCAGACGACGTTGCAAAGGAGCAGACGACGCTCAGATAGGGGGGCGCGATCAGCCAATCAGGGCTCGGCGTTCTGACGTCATCGCTACCCCCTGCGCAAGAAGCAGACGAACTTGCCCTCCGCATTACTAGAGAATCAAGCGAACGCTGCAACTTAATCAATTCCTTCGTAATATGAAACTCTGGTTTAATGCTCGATACTATTGGGTGCATCCTCAATGATGAGTCCATTGCAGCATTCGCATATGCCTCTATTTGAAGCTGGAGTAATCGGCCAGGATCCTGTTCATAAACATTTTGTTATTACAAACATTTAGGGTGCAAGCAAATGTTTATAATTTTGCAAATTATTGTTGTCGTTGCCTTTTTTTAACCGAACGTTATTGCTTGATGTAAACACTTACTGTATTTATCCCCTTGCATTATTAGGCAGCTCCAAGATGTTTGAAGTTCGCTTAATATCTTAACAGCGTCTTCATATTTCAGCATATATTAGAAACTGACTTGAATACAAAATCACAAGCCAAAAATATGTAAAAAAAAAAAAAGACCCGGATTTGACTCCTGCGGAAAACCAGGAGTTCAAGCGCGTGATGCCCACATAAATTCCTGAATTCGAACAAAGTTTAGGCACCAAAAAAATAACTTCCGAGCCATTTTATGCACATCTCGATAACAGTTTGACCAGAAAGTTTTCATTTCATTTCAATTATTACTACTCTCGGGAACGGAAGACGTTATGGACGGGGTGGGATTATAACCTGCAAGTTAATAAAACACCTACATCATGAATCAAGTTCTACTAGTACGGATACAGCATTTTAAAAATCAACAGGATTAACAATATTGGCGATGGTAGTAGAAAGGTGATTTCAGTCAACAGACCTTCAAAGTATCAATGATCTCTAGTAGGCATTGGTGCTACACTGTGGAGTTTCGACTTTATGGATGTGATCATTCCGTGGTGATATGTAGGATTGTTCCAGTAAGAGTTCAGTCTTAAGGATTGACCTGCGAAGAAATATTCTATGAAATAAACATAAACGATAAAACTTCCAGCGTAAAGGAAGATTTGGCAATGATAGGCTATTTTTCTTCACGAAAATGACGAAAATAATCTCTGGAGAAGGGGAACAAGAGTGACAAAGGGCAAATACAAACCTCCAAACACATATAGGTGACGGGTGCGCGGCTAATTGCACTGGATGTGCAAGGGTAGTTATAAATCATAAAGCACATGCATCTACTCTGGGCAGCTTTCAAGTACCCGCCAAGACTCTTAATGTTAGGATCTCGAACAGCAGAAGCGTACTTACGGTTTTGCCGGACTAATGTGTTATAGAAAACGACGTTCATCGTCAAGTGAGTCTGCAAAAAAATTACGTTTTAGGAAGCCAAGCATGAGGCTGGCATTGGAAATGATGTGGTGAACGTGCGATTCCCATGTGATGTTTGATGTGATGTGGACACCCACATATTTATATCTCTAAGGGTCAACCTGCTCTAAAATCATATTATTAAGAATAGAGGAAGGAGGATTGTTAACTTACCGGAGAAAATTATCATGTGTTTACATTTCTTAACGTTTAATGACGTGCAAAGTGCTACACAATTGTGTTTTGGAATCGAGATCATTTTGAATCATTAAGATATAATAACTGTTAGGTATTTAGCGGTGTATAACACAGTCATCATTCAATGATAAATCATGAACGTAAGCCAGAAAGGGCAGAGGGCCGAGCACAAATCCCCGAGGTACTCAGGACGGCACTGAAACTTTGAACGAGTCGGTTATATTACAATTTACAAACAGCGCATGATTAGTCCGAAATGTGCGAATCCACGAAAAGACATTAGGTTAAATGTTAAGTTTGTCAAGCTTAAGGGAAACAAGTTTATGAGAGAGTCTGGCAAACGTGACATCACATTCCTCACGTGATCGTTCCCTCTTTTTCCATAAATGCGGCCATCCGTTTGAGATATCGATGCATGAGTGGTGTTTTGGAGTTGGTAGCGTACCGTTCAACACTTCCGCGGCCTTCATTTGTGAAATACATATTTCGGTTCAGAATCCATTTAAGTGCGCTTATGCACCCATCTCAAAATCTCTTAACAGGTTTACCAACAGCTGTAACACTTATAACGGTGGTGTTACCCTATTTGCAGCCCAAGCAGTGTGGGCAGAACTAAGCATGAATAGCTAATTATAGATTAGAGACTTGGCGGCGCGCTCCGATTATCTGATCTTGACTACCTTGAGCCGCCAATGTCACTTCTCGAGTCATCAGTCATGCTACACTCTAAGAAATGCCTGCCCATATACTTACCCGCAAAACACTCGAAGACCCACTTCCTGCGACCTAAAAATCAGCTCAGCGAATGATAAGGCCGAACATCCGTTTAGACCCAAAAATTAAGACTGCGCTGTTGCATTCCGGTATGCAAGTATGACGTTTTTGCAATGCGTAATGCCTCAGCGCAGACATCATTTTTAGGTCTAAACAAATGCTCCGCCTCATCATTCGCTGAGCTGATTTTGTAGATCGCAGAAATTGGCTACTTGAGTGTTTTGCGGGTAAGTAGACGCGCAGGAATTTCTTAGAGTGTAGCGCCAGTGACCATTAAAAATCTGGGTTTCTGTCACAGACTCAGATCTGTGCCTGAACTGTCATCACGTCATAGTTAATGATCGACACATAAAGATACAAGTAGACGCACTAATACAATGTGCTTGTGTAAGTGTCTTTCCGCTGATAGGCGTGTTCTCAAAATACGTGCGTGCCTAAACACGACACCTGGTGTCACAACACCTTTCTTTCTGCACTCACTAATCCTCAGCGGGACCAATTACCAGTTTGTGCCGCATTCCGTTTCTTTTGCCAAATGGATCAGAGACTTTCTAATTATACGATGCCGCAATATCGAACCAACGCTGTAAAGGGCAATTCTTTGCCCAGATCTCCACATTTTATATCCACCATCATGTATCCTGTCCTTCTGTGCCTGATAGAATACCAAGATTTG